ATATATATATATGTATATATGTATATATATATATGGAAATTCTTTATCAGGAATTACCCCTTGAAACAAAACAAAAAAAATGCATTAATAAATAAATTAATTAATTACATTAATAAAAACGTTTCTGTATATGCGCCAGAGTTGAAGCCAAAAGGCTATTTTTCATCTGTAGTCCCAAGAGGCAGATGTTACAAAATAAACCTAAAAACAGAATGTAAGATTCAATTTAAAAGGTTCTACAATGTTGACGCTTTATAATGCGGCACAAACAATGAAAACAAGTGAGAATATTGATGCAGAGAAAATATCGTTTGTAAGTTTTAACAAAGCAGTAGTTGTAGAATCATTTGATCGAAAGCCAGATTGAAAAAGTGATAAGATATTGTACTTATTGAGATAATATGATAATAAATTAGTTTTTCAAATATTTTTGCAGTAGAATAAATTATAAAAAATGGTCTAAAGTCATTGAGTTCAAGTATCATCAAGTACACGATTATTTTAATAATTAAATCCTTAAAAAGCTACAACAATGCATTAGACATTACACAGCAACTCTTTTTAACATTGTTGTTGTGGATTTCACTGGATTTAACATTTAAAGAAAAAATATTTTAAAACAGTGCAGTGAAAGAAAACCACAGCACTGATTATTGACCCAGCAGATTATTGATCTAGTAAGTAGTCAGGTCGGTTATTTTTTGGTCCCCACCTGTAATCTCGACACACTTCTGAAGGAAATAGAGCCATTGCCAAACACACTTCACTCATGTATGTTGAGATCACTCGACAACAAACAAAGAAGTACAAAAGACTGAGCAGAGAGACGTCTGCGTATTGTTTTGGCAGCTTCCTGATCAACCACAGAGCTGGCAGAACACACTCAGATTCTTTTCATTCATCACTTGAATCGAAAAACACAGAAACTATTTGAGGATTAACTGTCACGTGAGACGCTACAGGTGAATAGGGTTAAAAAAAACTAAAATAATAGATATCACCAAGAAACTTCCCCAGTTGAATACTGACATTAAGACAATTATATTTTGTATTACAAGTTTTCTGAAATATTATGTTTAAATCTACAAATGAGGCATTATCTAATGGTAACCTTTGGTGAATTTAGGGGAAATCTAAAAACACAAATAGACAAAGTAGTAAAATAAACTGTTAAATGTGTATTTTGGATGTTTTCTTTCCATTAGTCTGAGAGAAGACGCACTATGGAAGCAAAATAGCCTATTGAGGTTAATGCCGGTGGACAGACAGGCGTCTCACCCTCATTTACGACCCTTTTTTTTAAATCAGCGTACTTATTAACTATTGGTGAAAAATGACAAATGATTTTGATAAGGATGCACTTAATCTGCTTGTTTGTTTTTAAAAGATTTATTTAGTTTTTTGTTCAACAAACAGGTGACAAATTATACAGACAAAAGTGTGAAACACCAAATATACAGACATGGATACAAACCGTATGAATGTTGCTTTATTCAGTGGGAGTATTGTAAATGTTTGTGGTCAGTATGAAAGTGTGCTGTCACATATTCCTACTCTACTGTGACCAGAGGTGTGTGGAGGTATGAAGGAGGAAGAGGACGACAGAAATACATGTGTACATAAATGGTATTATAATTACATATAATATTATATATAGCTGTTAGCTTTTTAAATACCCTAAATTAGCCAAAGAAAATACAAATATATTGCGCAAATACGACCCAATCTGAGTTCATTCATTCACTTTGGTTCAGTTTATTACGTCTTAATTCATGTTTTCTACTATCGAGTGCTATAATAGTATTCAATGAAAAAAGATTTAATTTATTTTTTCTCTTTTAGTAAATATTTAGGATCTATGAAGATGAATGCATGTATTTATTGGTAGCTTATGAGCTCACGTACTGAGGTTAGTAAACCGGAAAAACTCTAAGAAAAAACAGATGTGAAAGACTTCACACACACCGACTTTACCAAAGGTTTACCGTCTGCCCATATTTTATTGCTGAATTCATATATTTGCACGATTCCCACAGTCTCTCTCTGACTTAGTTTCAGACACGGTTCCCTCACAGACGCTACCTTCTTCCTTCTTGTGCTCCAGATGTCGAGGTGGAGGACAACCGGACTGCTTTTGACACTGTCAGAAAAAGAGAACAAAAACATTTATCGATTGTCATCTAGTAACTATTCAAATGTTTGGTGGCAACAAAAACTCATCTGAACAAAAGAAGCTGTTTGTTTTTTAAATACTTCACACGTTACTTACATTTGTATGCATTTAAAAAAGGAAAGGAAGCAAAAAAGAAAGAAAGAAAATCACTGGAAATTTGGACCTGTGTTGATCCAAAATAACCAAAACAAGGAGTTAGGAAGTGGAAGTACCACGAATCTGAGAGCACATTTTGTAATTGTTACATTCAGTTGCTGTAAAGAGCAAAATTACAACCAATAAGAAAGAGACGCGACAGGTGAGACTAGAGGAGACATGACGGGATCAACATGACAGCAAAACAAAACAAATGTGTGTGAGTGTGTGTGTGTGTGTGTGTGTGTGTAGATGAGCCATAGTTGGGAGTGGTTTTCAGGAAGGAAAAAAAACGAGCGGGAATACATTTTGTTTTTATGTTTTGTTTTGTAGATCTGCATTTTTAAATTTTAGCACAAACTTTCTCTTGCATTTCAGTCAATGCTGCATAAGGCGGTGCTTTCGCTCCTTTGCTCCCCTCTACTTCAAATACCTTTACCTGCTGCTTCAACCAACAATGGCTGATTGTATGTCAAGGACGATGCTTGCCTTTTGATAATAGATTGTTGTTTATACAGTTTAATTTGACAGTTACCTGAAACATCCATTTTAAGCATTCTTATAAAGATGTATGAAAACGTGTATAAATCCATGTTATTGTGGAGATTAAATCAATTGTTTTCTTTGATAATTATCTCCGCAAGGAGGATCATGCGATCAGTCACAAGCATCCGTCAGTGTGTGAGTATGCATCTCTGTGTCTGTCCACGGCTAATTTTGCATTCTGCTGCTGCAAACTGCAAACTATTTTGGGAGAGCAAGTATTGCTGCTTGCTTAATTAAGGACCTCTCATTGTTGCGGTGACTCACACTTTTACCAAAACACTTTTTATTGACTCATTCATACTGCCATGGAATGCCTGCTGACTCCTCACTCTAAACCGGCCCCCAGCTGGTCGGGGAAACCAATGACAACACAGCTCACTTTAATTGTTTTGGAAGGGCGTGTTTGGCTCAACGTCAACAAGAACCACGCCCTGCTGAGTACCTCGCTGCAACTCAGCCGCTCCAGTGATGAGTTCAATTTAGTTTTTGGCAAGATCGTATGAAAATGGCAAATGGACTTGCATTTATATAGCTCTTTAAGCCACATCCATATATGACGAACTCTGAGCTGATAGCCTGCATACATCACCGCTCGTATTTGAGTTAGACAATTGTGGGTTGTTTTCCTTCAATCACACAATACAGGAGTGATTGTTGCAGATACACCTGGCAAAGATCTGCACTCTACTGAGGGCACCTTTCTAGATGGTTTTGGTTATATTTTCCCGTTTTACAGTGACACACACATAAACAAAGCAACTGAATCTGGACAACAGAATCCTAAAATCCAGCTGTTGTGGTGCAGGGAGCAGCACAGGCGGGAAGGACCCAAGACGGGCAGATACAAAGAAAATACTTTAATTTAGATAAAAGCAACGAGGTTACAGGTGAACAAAACTCCATGCAAAAACAAAAGACGAACCGACAAAGACTAAAGGAACTGAGGTGGTTTAAATAGTGACTGACTAACAAAGGGAGTGAGAACAGGTGAGCAGGTGGTGAGGGTGAATGTGGGATTAATGAGGGACAAATGCAGGGCAGACAATAAAAAAAGGCAGGAAAACTCACAAAAACAGGAAGCAAAACCAAACATGACACATTGGACTCCAAAATAAAACTAAACAAATAGCCAAGACCATGGCTGTGTATGAAATCATGCACTTCTCACTATGTCGTCCACTCTATAGTGAGTTTGGCATTTTGTAGTGCTGTCCGAATGTATAGTGAAAATGATTGTACCCTATACAGTAGACTCAGAGTATCCCACAATGCATTGTGATAAGTAGTCTATGGTATATATATACCATAATGCATTTAGCTGAAGGGAAAATGTTAGACAGACGAGAGGAGAGAGCTCAATTTTGGCCGGATTTGGCTCAATTGAGACAAATCCGGGAAACGTGTCCTAAATGAATTATTCAATGTTGGATACGCAAACATCCACTTTGCAAGTACTTTGCATTTATTATTTTGGTTAAAACACGCGTATTATCTTCCCATTCATTACCTTTCACAATAAAGGTTCTAAACATAC